TTTGGGCGGGACGAAGTTCGCCGGGTCTGCTAGTATATATATATATATTTATATATGAGGGTTGAAGTCGGTTTTTTTTTGCTCAAAATTACTTGTTCTAATTAATTTTTTGATTTCATTTCTTTAATTCATTTAATTCTTTCAATTTCATTTAATTTTAAAAAATTCCTTTTTTTATTCTTGCTTAATTTTTTTTATAATTTTTCTCTCTTTAATTTATTACTTCTTATTGTTTTAGAAAGAAAAATACATATTTTTTTAATTAAAAAATAAAATTACTGCTCAAAGAATAACATAACGCTTTCAATTAGTCTTTAGAAAAACAGCAAAAGGCTTTCAAGATATTTGCCGGTCTTTCGAAAGACTGTGGTGTTTTGAAAGACAGTTGCCAGAATTCCTCTGTAAGGCGCATCATATTTTATTTATATACTTTTAAATTATTTGAAAGTGTACGAAAATAACATTACATGGACGCGCATCTCTTACTTTATTTGCAAAATGCGAAATATTTCCTCGAACTATTTTTTAAATATTTTAACTTCGCCAAAAGTACATGCAGTAACATTGCTCACGACATCCGTCGTATTTCCTGTGCTAAGCGGCAACAAGGCAAGCATTTTGGCGAAATTGCTACCACTTTCGTTTGCAAGTTAGTTCCTTACGAGAGCGAAAAAGTAGACAACGAAAATAAACAACAGTAAAAATAAAAAAAAAGAGTTGCAAAAAAAAATACGCATATAAAATACGAATTTATTTACGATTGTCTATCTACGATTTTATTTTACTTTTGTGTGTTGTAAATACAAGCAGCCGTTGCTCCAATTTTCGCGGATTTAGCAAGCGCGTATTACTTTACTTATGTACTTTCAATGACAATCATTAAATTTAATTTGCCCATTCATTTTCGTGTTAACAACACTGGTAGGTAATTCCTTCCATCGTTTCACTTTTTCGTTTGCATTTCACACACTCTCAATTTCTTCCTTTCCACCACAAATCGTAAGTCGCGCAATATGGGTCATTTGCAGAGGTGATACGATATCGTCGCTGAATTATGTGTGAATGTACATATATGTAAGTAAGTAGGCTGCAAACAGCTGTTGCAAATCCTGGGCGGATGTGGTGAATGTTACTTACTAACTATTTATTTTTGAACTTTCATTTTGAATGTGAGTGCTAATTTACTTAGTAAATAAATAAATAATTACTGAGCGTAGTCTGCTTAGACATTCAAATGATCTCAAATGTCAACCGTTCAGCCGTCTGACTTTTCTTTTGCTATCACCCACAAGTTACTTCATTTTCTGCACAATGCGCACAGCAGCACATTCTTGCATCACACACGTCAATGAAATGCATTTCGCATAATCTTTCATTTTCCATTTTCCCCTTTCCTTTACATATTCATGATGTCATCATGCCTAGTCGCCGTTCTCCATCGCACTTTCCACGCGCGCCTTTTTTTTCTTTCTTGCTTAACTACTCGTATTTGACAATCATTTTGCATTCCGTGCACTATTACCGGTTACATGCAATTTGCATGCACACACACGCGCGCGCATGCATTCTCACTCACAGGTATGTATGTGAGTATACGTGCCGGCACCGTACCACACTAAATGTTGCAACAACGCTGCGCTATTGGATTTCTTCGCCTGCCAAACACCGCGCCAACAAACCAACAATGAACTAAGCAGCCCGCGCACTGAATGCACTCANAATGTTGCAACAACGCTGCGCTATTGGATTTCTTCGCCTGCCAAACACCGCGCCAACAAACCAACAATGAACTAAGCAGCCCGCGCACTGAATGCACTCATTTTAGTTAGTCACCGTTTTCGTTGTTGTTGTTGTTGTTGTTGTTGTTGTTGTTGCTGTTGTTGTTGTTAAAAACATGGTGCAATNATTTTAGTTAGTCACCGTTTTCGTTGTTGTTGTTGTTGTTGTTGTTGTTGCTGTTGCTGTTGTTAAAAACATGGTGCAACATTTTGTTTCTAGAAGCAATCACTTTGAGTGTCGGCAACAATTGATTTCATGTGTTGCAATATATAATAGTGATTGCTCTGCTTTATGGTTTTGTTGTTTGTTGGGTTAAATTCAACGGCTCTCAATGCGAGTGTGAATACTAGTACTAAGCTGCAACTGCATACTCGTACATACACAGGTATATGTATATAAATGAGCAATTGTCGAGGTGTTAAGGTAACTTAAATTGCTCCTTCTTTCAATTAGTTTTCTTTTGCCATAAATTGCCTAAGGCATAGTATTTAGAATCGAGTCTTGTGGAAGCATAAAACATTTACACTTTATGTTTTCTTTGAAAATATAATAACAATAGTAAGGCTACAATTCCGACGACAGATCTATTTAACGGAAAATATAAGTTGGTGATTATCTCCATACATTTTTCGGCTTTAAAAAACTTGTAGGGAAATACTTATATCGCTACCATTGATCACAGACCCCTCGCAACCTATCTTTTTCGTGAATAAATTTGAATTCTAGTCCTTCACTAACTCTATGTTAGCATACACTTTTGCAGTCACATACCCCTCTCTCTTAAGACGACTAGAGTGTTAAGGTGACTTTTAGCATAAAGAGAACTTAAAGTATGCAACATGTGCCAAAAGGTTACATTTTTAAATTTACAACACCGTGGTCATACCTCAATTTTGGAGTAAACGGACTATTGCGGGCCGACCACAATCTTCGATAGATCGAAGACGTTCTGGAACCCAAAGGCTCTTTTCAGTACTACCCTGACGAATCCAAGATCGCATGGAGAGTGTTAGTACTCGGTAAAACTAGATTTACAACAGTCATTCCACCTGCCGGACCACTGTAGCGTCTCCCAATTCGAGGTAGCGGCCATGCAGAAGGCTGCCGAATGTTTTGAAGGACAGCAAAAATATCTATGTATATTTACCCAGACTGTCAGGCAGATCTGAATTCTGTCACAAATAACTTGGAATGTATAGTGATTTGCCACAAATCACTTAAAGTGTTAGCAGAGCAATTCAATCGTTTGTTTGGTATGGGTGCCGCGACACTGAAGTATGCAAGAAAGGGAAAAGCTTAGACATGCCGTTCGCTGCCTACAAGCCCAATATACAAGTATTCTTCTTCACAGAAGCAGACGCAAGAGAGATTTCTTGTGGCACCGTAACAGGTCCGATTGAGGACCTAAGTGTTCTGTATAACTTACTAACCGATATTGACTTATATTTCGTCGGAAGAATAGAATATCACCCTATTCGGCAGCCGGTTCTAAAACACCCTAGCTCACTATAAATGCAATATTTCGGCAGCTGAGATATGGCGTTCTTCAACCAAATTCTGAAATAAGGCCTTTTTCAACCGTTTGCTGAGATAGGACGTTTTCGAATTGACTGGTTTCTGTTTTCGGAACCCATGTCATTATTTGCTTATTCTTACAAATAGGCAATTCCATTCACAAACAATTTATAAGGTTAGCGTTAACGGCGTAGTTGACAATTAAGTCTAGGTTGGATGAAAATTGCTGATATATTCACTCCTCAAACGTCTGTTGGGGAAGACAATAAGAGGTAGTTTGAGGTTAGGATATCTCAAAAGTCTGACGTGATAGAGCAACTCTGCGTCCAGATTTGGATTCAGCATCAGAAAATCCACAAGAAACGATGTGTTTAAATCAGGTGGTAAAATTTTGTTGAACTGTGTAGTTGAGAACCCTAATTTACTCCTGATTAATGCTTACAACAGTTTCTTAACAATAAATGAAATTGTTGTATTTCTGTTAATATTACAAAAATGTAGTTTTATTACATTTTCTTAACTATATTGTGACACATACGATTTGAATTATCTAATTTCCGGAATTAAAGTTGAATTTGATCTTCTAAACAGGTGGCAACCGTCATACATGTTGTTTAGGCATTAATCTTTCCCAAAACCATTGGATTGATAGCCATATTGCAGCAGTCCATTTAACTTAATTGAATTTAATTTCCAACAGATGGCAACACTTTTAATATTCTAACCCAGATATAAAACATCTGCTCGCCAAGACGAACACGTAGGTACGCGTGTTCTTACAAACTTGAAGCAACTTTGTTTTTTTTTTTGTGTAATAACATTGGTTTTCAGCAAAAAATGTTCTGTGGATGCCACTATCCAATTCCTACGTAGAATTGCTCG